ACACCTGAACTTATGAATAATGCTACTGTTTCTGGAAACTGCGAAATGCCATGCACAAATATAAACCAAAACTGTATAATTTCTGCCTGTGGCAGGTTTAAAACCTTTGGTAGACAGCCTTAAGTCTTTTTAAGGACACCCGCGGAGACCCTGATGTAAACGGTAACTTACTGTGTGACCCTGTTGACATAGTGCTCCTGGATGTTTACGCTTCAAGTGCTCCTTTTGCACATATGGCAGAGGACCACATTGTTGCCCTTTTGCGTGAAATGCTCCCAAACTTTAGATGCCCGCTGGCGTTTTTTTTGTAGCTGGAGATTGCTCTCCGGAGTCCATGCTCTCTAGAGCTTAGATTCTCTGCCCGAACCAGACATGACCCGAGCTCCAGAAAATAGTCCGAGATGTAGGCGTCTGTTTTTTAATTATATTTTTATAAAAAAAAAAAAAAAACGAAAATAATGAAAACTGAAAGTGAAACTAAACTAATTTATTTATAAGCGCTGTTTTCACTACCGCAGTTCTACAGCGGGGGTGTTGTGCCGATTCTGTCCGCGAAGCGGCAGTCGGATTCAGCAGGGAGTCGGATTCGGCACAAGCGCGGCGGCACCCCGCGGTCCGCGGTGTCAGTTGTAAGCGCTCGCGCTAGCCGCAAAATACGACAGAAAACACTGAGGGAGCTGCAGAATTATGTGTGGGACTAGAATATGAACACGAGGAGATAAAAGAAAACCTTCACCTGTGAGTAGCTCTCACCAGAACACGCAAATCTCTCTCTCTCTCTCTTTGTGTCTCTCTCTCTCTCTCTTGCACGTGAACTCCTCCGCGTTTGACTTGCAGAACTGTGTTTAGCTGTTCTTAAAAATCATTTTAATTAAATAATAGTTCTATGCTTCTATGTTACCGTGTTAATTAACATAATTCTGATCATATTTCGCTCATTCAAACAGCCCGAAAACAGCCAGTTTATGGTTCAGGTCGGGTCGGGCTAGAGCAGAACTTGCACGGGCTCGGGCTGGGTCGGTTCGGAATTTTTGGGCCCGATCTAACCTCTAATGCTCTCCACAGGCGCCGCCATGTTTACGACGCGCCGACGCACGTTATGCAAATCGATGTATTTTCGTAATCGATGACGTCGATTATGTCGACGCGTCGCCCCAGCCCTAATTTTATATATATTTCTCTTTATGTGGGCAGACCAATTACATTATTTTATTATTAATCAATCAATCAGTATAATCAATTTATTTACACATTTATTTAGTTTGTTTACTTACTTACAGATTTATTTTATCACAGCTGGATTGTTTAGCACCCGACTGGATTTATATTGTATCCGGACCAGTGTTATGAAGTTTATTTAATTAGATTAATGAGATTATAAGAAAATACATTTGAGATGTTCATACATTTCAACGTTTTCTATAAACATATGTTACACATATTTACTTTACACATGGGTAAGCAGGCATTCAACAGTGTCAAATTTACATACATTATCTTAGTGTCTAGATCATCGATCTACGGTGGTGCCAAACAGTGTTTGAATGGCTTTTTCAGCCCATATGGAAAATTAATATATTTCCAGTATGCATTTCTAAATATATTTGCATTTGTAAAAAGTAAGAAAATTGCCCCCCCACCAAACAACAAATCCCTAATATTTGGCAAGCAATTAAAAAAAAAGAATTAAAATGTTTAAAATGTATTTCACATATTAAGAAACAAATGCCCATATATATACATGTATATACATGCATATATATACATGTATGTGAAGAAAATGGTGTATTTACCATTCTGTTTGAACTCAGTCTAAACTGGTATATGATGTTCAAGTTCAGACAAAAAAAAAATCATACCCTGTACTGGTGAGACATCTAGTTGACCAGCTTAGCTCTTAACCAGCATTAAACTCCTGAGAGGGGTATCCAGTTAGTGTTCTGACACTGACTGTATTGGGCGCAGCAATGGTTGTGTGGACAGTTTGAATGATCTGTTTCTGCTCTCTCTTTCTGCTTGTGTGCTTCAACTTCCAGTCAGAACTAAACTTCTCAGCACAGGCTAAGAGCTAAGTCGGTAGGGAGTTGCTAATAGCAACAGTGCTACAGCTACATTTTCTGGGTTACGTTCATTGGTTTTGCAATCTCAACAGACTGCCTATGTACCGTGTATTCTGCATGCGTTTACACGAACCGAACCGTGACCCCGTACCGTGACGGTACCCCTAACTGTACATGTTTTAAACTCAATACAGGTAATGATTTTACTAGAAACTTCAGTGAGTAAAGCGCTTCCATTTATTTACAGTAAGCTCAGATTCCCAAATTTCTCCAGCATTAAGGCATTAGCATTATCATTAGCAGCCAATCGCTAGCACCAAGCAGCATATGCTGCCTGACAGTGCTACACTGAGGAACCCTGAATGTTCCGGTAAGCTAGGGCGCTATTAGCTAGCGGTTCGTCCCACATAGCTTCTGTTAATGCAGTACTAAATAATTAGACTGCAGGCTGATAATAGCCACCTCTGAACGGCGAAAGAGCTAGCACTTAGCACAGTTAGCGGCTAATGCTAATGCTGCTGCAGGAAAATTAATGCTGCTCTTTGGGAAAATTAAAGGATTTTAAGTGCACTTTATATTGTGAAAATACTAATTAATAATTAAAAGAATTAATACATGGCTTTTGCACATTTCGAGCTGTGCAAGGCGTATTTTAAAGCAATTCACTGTTGCACTATAGATCACTAAAATAGACACCAAGGTTGGAATATAAAGGTAGTAGAACAGCGGTTTTGTGCCAGAAGAGGAGAAATGGAATTTACAGGGTACATTTAAGTATTTTTACTTTATTACTAGTAATATGAGTTGTTTCCTCATTACATCGTATTGCATCATGTTTTATCTTTTTTATATATTTATTCTTCTGCTGTTTTTCAGCTTTTCGTGAAATGACAAATGGGACAGCTGCCGCCACCAATGGTGATGCTCTTCTGCATGGTAATAAAAATAGTTTATTTTTACATTTACAGTAACTTTATTCACATACAGTATGCATGCACTTAATAATCTGATTATTATTAGTTTACATGCACAAATAACTACAAAAATAATTAGATAATGCAGTAATCTGATTAAATCTGATCTAATACATTTTTTTAAAAGATGTGATTAAGAAATTGTAGAAACTTTGTGGATATTCTCCTACAGGTAACGGTTTTTACTACAAATATTAGAAATATTACATACAGATATGTATAATTTACACACATTTATGTTTGAATGTGGGGGACGTAGGGGAGACTGGAAATAGCTGACAAGTAGGGCTGCAATTTATTATTATTTTTTTAATAATCAAATAATCTTTTCTTTTTTCTATCTAATATTGAATCAGAGAAAAAGGAAAAAAAGCTAAATTTGATTTACAGCATTTTATTTAATAAACCAAACTAAACCGTCTCCGCACTGATGTTGTAATTGAATAAGCAACGCACAACCAGCCATTATTACAAATATTAGCGTTTCCTTGAAGAAGTAAGCATATACTTTCACAAAACAGACATTTTTAGTAGTTTTAAGGGACACATTTGAGGGGGGGACAGCACAGCAACCACCTACCAACACCATAGCAACCACCTAGCAACAAAACAGCAACCGTCTACCAACACCAACACAACCACCTACCAACACCATAGCAACCACCTAGCAACACCATAGCAACCACCTAGAAACACCGTAGCAACCATCTACCAACATCACCACAACCACCTACCAACACCATAGCAACCACCTAGCAACCTTCTACCATGAGGTGCTCCATTGACTGATTAAAACCCTGCAAACAGTCAACAGTCAGACATTTATTGCTATCTCAGCTAAATACCCCGCTTGTTAAACACGCACACAGTCATGCTGCAGATCTCAAACCCGACTTTTAACATAAAAATAAACAGAATAAAAAATAAAATTACATTGCTGTTCCCGTAAATGAGCTGCTGGTGTATCTTTACAGTGTGAACACTCAGCTCAGTTTCCTCTGCTGAGACACACAAAAGCTAAAACCACGCTGTTAAGATATGAATCCACCAAAGTCAGAGCTCACCTGCCTCTTAAAGAGAATGATGAGCAAGAGACACTCTGATTGGTTTATTTCATGCTACGCCCAAAATTAACCACACCCAAGATTAATTAAGAGAATTAGTATGCATTTCTAAATATATTTGCATTTGTAAAAAGTAAGAAAATTGCCCCCCCCCCCCCACCAAAAAACAAATCCCTAATATTTGGCAAGCAATTAAAAAAAAAATAATTAAAATGTTTAAAATGTATTTCACATATTAAGAAACAAATGCCCATATATATACATTTTCTATGTGTGAAGAAAATGGTGTATTTACCATTCTGTTTGAACTCAGTCTAAACTGGTATATGATGTTCAAGTTCAGACAAAAAAAATCATACCCTGTACTGGTGAGACATCTAGTTGACCAGCTTAGCTCTTAACCAGCATTAAACTCCTGAGAGGGGTATCCAGTTAGTGTTCTGACACTGACTGTATTGGGCGCAGCAATGGTTGTGTGGACAGTTTGAATGATCTGTTTCTGCTCTCTCTTTCTGCTTGTGTGCTTCAACTTCCAGTCAGAACTAAACTTCTCAGCACAGGCTAAGAGCTAAGTCGGTAGGGAGTTGCTAATAGCAACAGTGCTACAGCTACATTTTCTGGGTTACGTTCATTGGTTTTGCAATCTCAACAGACTGCCTATGTACCGTGTATTCTGCATGCGTTTACACGAACCGAACCGTGACCCCGTACCGTGACGGTTTGTAAAGAATACACGTACCGTTACCCCCTAACTGTACATGTTTTAAACTCAATACATTTAATATAGTTGTCTTATGTTGGTAAACATAAGACTTTTTAAAACCCTGTTTTAAATTTTCTTTACAGTATCTCCTCCAGAGAAACACTCCCTGTTCTACATATACAGCGCCCTCAACAAAGACATGTCTCTACCTGGTATCCACCAGTTCACAGCTCTGGGGCTGCTGGATGACCGAGAGATTGACTACTACAACAGTAAGGAGCAGAAGAAGATTCCTAAACAGAGCTGGATGATGGAGAAGATGCAGGAAGATTACTGGGAAAAAGGAACCCAGTCTCGCAAGAGTAAAGAACAGTGGTTCAAGGTCAACGTGGAGATCCTGATGAAGAGGATGAACCACAGTGAAACTGGTTAGTGATTCATCAGATCTTCATTGTTTCCTTCTCTCGTGATCTGTGTCAGTGATTGTGATGATCTTCATTTTCTCCTTCTTTTCAGATCTTCATGTTCTTCAGTGGAGACACGGCTGTGAGATCGATGAGTTTAACAATGGAACAGTGAAGTTTCTGAGAGGGATTGATCAGTACAGTTATGATGGATCAGATTTTCTCTCCTTTGATAATTCTCACAGGGTCTGGGTCGCTCCGGTTCAAGCTGCAGAAGAAACCAAGAGGAAATGGGATGGTGTGGCCATCCTGAACCAGTACACCCAGGGGTACCTGGAGAAAGAGTGTGTGGACTGGCTCACCAAATTCATGGAGTATGGAAAAGAAACACTACGAAAACACTGTGAGTTTCCGTTTTTTTCCATTTTTGGAAACATTGAAATTGTAACCATGAGGTGAAGCTGGTACAGATTGTAGAAGGACTGCATGATACTGGGAAGAAATGCTTCTACATTGTGATATTGTAAGTGATACACACTGGTACTCATGCACTCTTGAGAGGAGTATCCTGTTAGTTTTCTGTTGATATTCTGAGTACTGGGCTAAGCAATAGACTCTCTAAAGGGGAATTCGATAGCAATAGACATTCAAGAGGGGAATCCGAGTAGTGTTTTGATTATGCACACTGTATTGGGATGAATGATGCACTTTTTCAAGAGGGGTATCTGGTTAGTGTTCTAATGATACTTACTATACTGTACAGGGCTCAGTGATTAACTCTTTTGAGAGGGGTATCCGATTAGTGTTCTGATGATACTCACTATACTGTACTGGGCTGAGTGATGCACTCTTTCGAGAGGGGTATCTGGTTAGTGTTCTGATGGTAGTCACTGTATTGGGCTGAGTGATGCACTCTTTCGAGAGGGAAATCCGGTAAGTGTTCTGATGATACTCACGATACTGTATTGGAATGAGTGATGCACTCTTTCCTTTTTCAAGAGGAGTATCTGGTTTAGGGTTGGGCGGTATTGAAGTTTTTCATACCGTCGTCAGATTATATGGCGGTATACGGTGCAGCGCGCAGCGCCTCGCGGTCCGCGGAATTGCTTATATTTACAGCGCTCGAGCTAGCTGCGAAATAATGACAGAAAACTCTGAGGAAACTGCAGAATTCTGTACGGTATTAGAATATGAGCGCGAGTGAAATAGGAGATGAGGAATATTTAAGGAAACAGCTGTAACACACTGAACACCCCATGCTGCAGGATAAACTGATAAATTTGATCATTTCGGTGGTTGGTTGGTTGGTTAGTTGTTAGGGATTTATTGTCACTTCAGCACAAATGTGGCTGTTTGTGGCGATAGTTTTGGTGAAAATTAGTGAAACCTGTAGAGTTTATTGAGTTTTTGCTGTATGATCTCCTCACTGAGAATCCCCACCCCATAACCAATCAGGGAGCTCCAACTGCTTACCCCTCCCACTGCTCTTTCATTGTGGATGCGCAGAATGTCTTAAACGTCCGTTTTTCAAAGTCCAGGTTTGGCACATCACGTGGTTAATATACCGTCACTATTTTACAATACCTTCACCATATTTAAATACCGTGGTATACCGAAATACCGTCATACCGCCCAACCCTAATCTGGTTAGTGTTTTCATAGTGTACTGGGCTCAGTGATGCACTCTTTCGAGATGGGTATCTGGTTAGTGTACTGATGATACTGTACTGTGCTGAGTGATGCACTCTTTCGAGAGGGGTATCTGGTTAGTGTTCTGATGATACTCACTGTACTGGGCTAAGCAATAGACTCAAGAGGGGAATCCGATTAGTGTTCTGATGATACTCACTGTACTGGTCTCATTGATGCACTCTTTTGAGAGGGGTATCTAGTTAGTGTTCTAATGGTACTTACTGTATTGGACTGAGTGATGGATTCTGAAGAGTAGCATCTGGTTAGAGTTCTGATGGTACTCCCTGAATTAGGTTCAGTGATGCACACTTTTCGATCTGGTTAGTGTTCTAATGGTACTCAATGCATTGGCCTCAGTGATGCACTCTTTCAAGAGGGGTATCTGGTTAGTGTTCTGATGATACTCACTGTATTGGGCTGAGTGATGCACTTTTTTAAGAGGAGTATCTGGTTTGTGTTCTGATTAGGGTTGCAACGGTATGAGATTTTCACGGTATGATAACCGTCTCGGAAAATACCGCGGTATCACGGTTATCACGGTATCACAGTTTGTTACATATATTATTATTTTTTTGTTCAATTAACTATTTATTGTAGAAACTACACCATCAGGTGAAGGAAACCAGTACTCTGCGTTGATACCACTGCTT